CATAGACAGCAAGGATCCTTACATGATCAAGGTCCAGAAACATAGCAAGGAGATCGGTAAAATAGTCCATGTGACATCAGGGGTTCAACTGTAATTTTATGAAGCTACGAGAATACTTTTTGTGTGCAAAAGAAAAATGTGTTCAGATCAAAGCGCAAACGACGTAAACAGCGTATCCGCGTGACGCAGCTGACACAATGGCGCCAGGGTGACGCGGAGGATACTAATGGTTGAATAAAGTCGTTTTTTTATGTTTTCTTTTGTGCTCAAAAAGTATTCTCGTATCTTCGTAAAATTACAGTTGAACCACAGATATCACATGGATTATTTTACCGATCTCCTTGCTTGTAAGGTCAGAGAGCTGTCATATTCCATCAAAAATATCTTCATTTGTGTTCTGAAGATGAACGGAGGTCTTACAGGTTTGGAACAACATGAGGGTGAGTAATTAATGACAGAATGTTCATTTTTGGGTGAACTATCCCTTTAACTCTAACCCTTGTGAAAAAGAGGTATACTTTAGCATACATTTATTATGGAAATAATACACTTAAATCTTCATCAAAACAGATTTGGAGAAATTTAGCATTACATCACTTGCTCACCATTGGATCCTCTCCAGTGAATGGGTGCCGTCAGAATGAGAGTCCAAACAGCTGATAAAAACATCACAATAATCCACAAGTAATCCATAAGACTCCAGTCAATTAAAGTCTAGTGAACTGAAAAGTTGTCCAAATCCATCATTGATGCGTTTTTTAATTTCAAACCGTTGCTTTTGGTTAAAAGAGTCCTCTATCCATAATATTGCTTCATTTAATAATATAATCTAATAATATTTTCTAACTCTAATAATTATTATTATTGTAATTAACAGTTATTATTGTGGTTGTTTTTAAATATATATTTTATCATGTGTTACATATTAAACTATTAAAATACATGCTTCATGAAAACAATAAAACACAGTCAACAGTCATGATCTACTAGTATGGGGGTAGAATTGTTGCTTAATTCCATATAAATAGATTATGATCCACAAATAAATCGTAAAGTTTCACAAACATGAATAAAATTCACAAATAAATAAAATGAGATTTGCAAATAAAAAACATATTCACAAATATATGTTTATGTCACAACCACAACTTTGCCTGGCATTTATTTGTGAATCGCATCCTGTGCATTTGTAGATAGCTGCACGCATTTGTGAATC